GCCACTGGGGGGGCATTTGAAAGCTGTATGAACCTAAACAGTTGAAAAATTAATACATTTCTTCTCAAATGGATTTATATTAAACAGTGCATATATATATATATATACCTGGTATACAGTATCTTAAGATAGTTTATTCACTTTCCAAATAGCGCAAAATCAATGTCAATGAAGACAGCTGAATATCCATATATGTACCGCAATGCTAGCAGCCAATCAAATTCCAAACCATTCAGCTTCTTGGAGAAAGAGTTACTGTTAATTTGGAAAGCACACTTATAATATTTAACATCTTTCAGTACTTTTATATTCTACCGCTCTAGACATAAAATGCCCGCCATTCCCCAATTCTTGTAAAGAGGTGTCCTCACCGCCAGTGCATAATATACATATAACATTCGTAAACGTTTTTTTGGGGTATTTTTTTTGTATTCAACTATTTCAAAAGTACACAGTAAACATAAGTATGGTTAATTTGATCTGTTGTCATGTTAATCAGCAAGCAGTTAAGGAAAACATTATTCCAAATGTCCTGTACATTATAAAGGATGACATTGTCGCTTTAAAAGACAGGCCCGCTCGACTTTGTTCGTCCTTGTGATGCATGTCTGGTCTGTATCGGTGTTTTTTGGTCGTTGTGCGCGACCTGGGAGGGTCAGGTTCAATCCAGATCATGATACATGTTTCATGTTGGCAGCTGAAGCTTCGAATTGGTAACCTCTGAGATTAAGTTGTCACGGATTGGTAGACTAACATAAAAAGGATTAATATGATTGGCTGATTACCCACTGCCAATGATCTTACATTTTAAAAGTGCTTGTCATATTTCAAATTATATTCGATGCCATTGAATAAGCAAGTAACTGCCATGCTTTGTCTACTACGGAATATCGCTTACATACATCTTAGTCATATCAATAAAATATGAGTTCCCAACATACCTTACTTCATTCGTCGACATTTACAAGGTTTTTACAACACTTTAACACAAAGGGTGAAAGTCTCGTCGTTTTGTGTGAAATGATATTAATATATATATTACTACGCGTACACTTATAAATTTCTTGAGAACCATATCTTATCTGACATAATGTATAACAAAATTTGTCTGCACATTTATGGGGTGTATATAGGTGAAAAAAAATTCAAGTCAGTGAATTTGTCAAAGTTTTGTTGTATATAATTCATTGTTGCTTAACACTAGTGTTAAATATGTGGTTCAAGTTAGACTAAATTCTTGATAATGTTAATAATCTTTGAATGTACGTGTGTACATGCACCTGTAGTTTAATACTATGTGTGCTTGAGGGATCGATTTAGAAGACCGCATTGCGTATACAAGTGCTTATTGGCTTGGAACGACTCAAATGGTTTTTAGTGACTTCTATATATCTTTACAAATGTTAATTTCAATAGAAATACCAGTCGATTAATCTTGAAGACAGTTTCAGCTAAATCGATCCTCCTTAAACTACTAACTAGTTTTACTGATTCTATAGCTAACTTCATCTGACCTATTTTATACAACACATAATTGAAACAACATTGACTTAAATATCGTTAAGTTATTAATATCATTCGACAAAAAAACTCTAATTAAACAATTTACTACCCTTGTGAGCTTTTAATTCGACCTCAAACTTCAAAATTAGTCCTTTATAGCTTCACCTTTATACAGTTATTTAATTTGGTGTACAAGAATTAGTCTTCTTCTAGAGGTTATTCTTCTGAGGTCCAAACATGTACCTGCAGGTGTCAAAAATCAAAACTTATTAAGAACTATCAGTATTCATCAACACATAATTATTACTTTATCTCGAAGATATTTTTAACGTTGATCTTCAAGGGCGCAGGCAGAAATCTATAAGGGAGAGGGCGCTACTTTTAAAGGAACGAGAGGAAGTGAGTAATAAAGCTATACTTTGGGTCAGGGAAATGCTCCCCTTGGAAGAAAGTTGTAACTTTCACGCGCATAAGTAAGTTATACTTCATAGTGTGTAATCAAATTATTTTGTTTGTAGTTATTAAAGCGCGTAAAACGATTCTGTTAACCCTAACAACTTATAGAAAAATACATAAGGACTCTGTTTTTTTTCAATTAAATTTAGGGTTTTATATTTCTATTTTATTTTTAACTTGCAAGAACATAGAATACGAAAATCGTAAGTATTCAGTTTCCGCCACTCTATTTTTATTATTGCTAACGTTAAGATTTTTTTCATTTGTTCTATTTGTCATTCAGCATTAAAATATGGAGGAAAAGTTTAATGAGATTTTAGAAAATGTATAATTATTTTATTTTACTGATCATTTAATCATACCTCAAATCTTGCTGGTCAAATAAGTAACATTAAACATGACGAGACGTTTTGTACACATGCAAGTACTTTTGTACTTTGATTTTAAAAGAATAAGTTTTTTTTTCAAGCATATATACTCAACATGAAGTAACAAACTCTTTTCTCTCTTTATTCCAAAACAAAATGGTTGATCTGTCTTCTTTGTACAGCCATATTCATTATTCAGTTATAAGCAGTCAACGCAAGAATAACTGATATGGTGTGTTCAAACAAAATTAAGAAATAAAAAATAGTTGAAAGGGAGTGAATGAGAAAATAATATTTGCAACCAAATCAGCTTATACATATAAACTTTGCAACACGATTAAAATATAATCGGTATTTATAATATTTCAACTATGACAAGGCAAAACTACTGTTATAAAGTTAATCCTTCCCTGTAGTTCACTAATTAGGCACATGACGATCCGTCACGTGATCTGAAACGAATATCATTGGTCATTCAGGTTATGCTCGTAAATGAACGTTTAGAAGGAGTAGCTTTAAAACTTTACATTTTATGGCATTTTACTTTACTAAAGAGTATAGTTATTACGAATAGCAAGAGTAGCGTGGCAGCAATAGTGGCATTGAAGTCTGATGAGCATGGAGTCCACTTAATTCGGTCAATCTCCCTTTTTTCCTGAAAAAATATCGATCAGCTTAGCATCGCGTGGTGAAGGCTTCATCCTCCATTAAGCGCCCCAGTGGCACAGTGGTACGTCTTCGGACTTATACTGCTAGAAACCGGGTTTCGATACTCGTGGTGAGCAAAGCATAGATAGCCCTTTGTGTAACGTTGTGCTTAATAACAAACAACATCATCCATTAAGCTGAAGTCAGGGCTATTATACCAGGTATGGCATCACAAACGGTCGTGTGAAGTGGTAACTGGCAGCGATAGTGGAATTGAAGTCCAATAAGCATGTAGGATATTACGTTCAACCAATCCTCGCTTCATCAGGGAAAGTATCGACCTGCTTAGAACAGCGGGCTTTATCACCCATTAAACCAGGTTCATTGAAGCCAGGTACCAGTTATAACAGCAAAAACGTTCATGGGATATGATCCGTATAAAGTGAAGCATTAATAGTACCATCCTATAAAATGTAGAGGTCAGTACTTCCACCAAAGCTTATTCCTAACCACATATCATACTGCCACCATTACTACCTGTGTCACGCTCCTGCATTAAAATGTGTCTGGAGCTGATTCCAGACTTCCTATGCATCACTATAAGCCTAATATCTGGCTGCAGAATGAGATGCAACTCACCTGTAAAACGAATATTTTTCCACACGTCATTGGTGAACTGCAAATACTCCTACCCCATTGCAGGAAAAACTAATTTATAATTTGGTGTGAATTAAACACACCTCAATGTGCGACTGACATATACAGCTTGACCCCATGAAGTCTGATTCTCTCTATAGAATGACACGATGGAAAATTGCGCTGAAAACATCTGATTCAGTTTTGGAACAGGTACTCTTACAGATTTGCAGTGAGCCAAAATCAGCATCTGCTTGTATTGCTTTGCTTTATCCAAGTGTCGAAGCAACTCAGAATTCGTTTGGAAGTACTTCCACATACTGCTAACGACACTTGTAGCCGATCTGCAATAGCCTGCTGCAATTAAACGACTTCCATTTTTTCGAAGGTTCATCATGATTGAAATATTCAACTACGATTGTCTTATGTCTGACCATGGTTAACGAACAAAGGCCATTTAAACTGTATGATTCTTCACTTCAAAGTCAAAACTGAGACAATACTGTGTAAAACCATTAAATATAGAACATAGGGCGATTTTGTTTTTTGTTTTACAGCAAAGCCCCATTGGACTATCTACTGTGTCTACCGCGGGGAATCGAACCTGGATTTTAACGCTGTGAGTCCGTAAACTTCCCTCTGTCCCATCGGGAGATAACATAGGACGAAGGACCAGTCATTTGTACTTCTGAACACATAACCGTTACGCAATATCTGATCTATATAACAATGAACTGGGGGAGAGGGGGGGGTATTGACGTTGTTTCAAACCACTAATGTTTCTTTGTCAGAGTTATCATATTACAAATTCCGATTACGCTTTAGTTGTTTTGTGCAATGTAGAATGGTGTAATCGACAAAAACTTTTAATTACATTTTACCAAAAGTATAGAAAGGTGTAGTTATCATAAAGAATCGTCCTATTGGTCAACATACTCAAGGCAGGAACCATCCCAGCAATCATACAAAATGATCATGTTTGATAGTGTTTTATACTTGGAAAGTGAATAACAAAGCAATTCACTTTAGAAACTATTAGTATTATTATTTTCGCTACATTTACATCTTTGTTTCATGTTAGCTGAGATTTAATTGTTGAAACACACACACGCATAGCTCTATTAATAATATAATAAAAACATACCTTCTGGGGCTCTACATTTTCGTCCTAAGATCGAGAAGAACATGGTACAGTATTTTGAGATTTTTTCCTCTGCTGCTTCGGTGACGATCGAGATGCTCTCTGTATTGGAATAAAAGATTTTCGAGCTTGAAAACTTTTGGGTCCAGTGGTTCCGGAATCGCTTTTACAATTATTTTTTCTGCCTGTGCTTGATGGACTGGAGGAGCCTGAGCTTATATTTTTATCCAAAGATCTTTTTTGATGAGGTTTTCGACTGGGAGAACTAGGTGCCGAAGCAACGTTCTGTTGCTTAACAGAAGTATTTAATGTTTCATTTGAATTCGCCACTTGCTTAACTGTGGGATGTTTTGGACCACGAGATGTACGAGGCATCGACTTTTTAACAGTTTGTTTAAGAAGATCTTCCCTTTGTTCTTTCAAAATTAACTCTTTGAAAGTACTTGAAGCAACTGATAAGGGTTGTTGACTAGAAGGTGTTTGGGAAGGAGAAGATACATGAGAGTCAGGTGACAGTGAATCTATTACTTTTATTGGTAATGTCGTTTGTTGTGGCATCCTTGTGGGAGCTTTGGATTTCTTCAAATCTTGATGGGTCAGTGAAGGCGGAAATACAGGAGGCTGCTTGGGCATGGTTGTTACCTTTGTAGTATGAACTGGCGTTACACTACGTGGTGTAGATGACATTTGCTCCCATTTACGTTTTAATTCTTCAAAGCAGTTTCCCATTTCATCGATCTTTTGAGTTTGTGCAACTTTATTACAATTCTCTAAATGTTTGTCCATGCAATCTTGATTATTTTGCCGATTCACTTGAATGTTGCGGAGAGACAAGTCACTACCTTGGATTATGTTATTGGAGTTTTTATCTCCTGCTGTGTTTTGCAGCTTTTGAGATTCCGTCTCATGCGATTTAGTTGAAGGAAAGGCAAGATTTACTGCTCTCTGGAATAATTCTTTTGCAGGATCTGTATTCAGCGCTGTAGTTAGCCTCTTCTCTGAATGTTCATCAATGATATATCCTCTGCTGTGAAAAGGCAATATATGTTTAAAAGACTCTATAGAATTTTCATTGTCAAGTTTATGCCGGTGTTCGAGGTCTTTTAACTTTGAAATTTCATTAATCGCAGCGCTTCCTTTACGTGAAAAAACATTATGGTTTTGATTGTCGACCTTCAACGAAGGTACATTTGAAAGCTTGTCATCCATAAATTCTGTTTTCAAACCTCCAACCTCACTAGTTTTTCTGGATCGTCTCAATGACGATGCCTTAGGTTCCTCAGTCAAAGCACAGTTATAACTACCAGTTTCAAACGGTGGGATACGAGTTATATTAGGCGTCATGAATATTGGTAGGGGTTTTTGTTCTGTAGTATGTATGATTGCTGTAGGCGACTCGTTATCAGTTTGTCTAATATCTCGATTTCTGACTTTTAAGTCCAAAGCAAATGGTAAGGCAGCAAGTGGCCTGAGTTTGGTTAATAGTATCTCGCACAAATTGGTAGATAACGGAGAAGCCAGGAGACTAAGTAGAGCATCAGGTTGATAATGTTGACGAATCAAAGGTTCGCATGAAGTAACGTGAAGAAACCACCAATCCACGAGCCCAAGACTATAGACAAAGTAAAAAGAAACTTATATAAACGCTGCTTATAATACACTGAACTTAATGGCAATTTGCTAGAAAACGTTCAATTTTAAATTTTAGTGAAAATTGATTATATTAGTATTACGAAAGATAAACTACATTCTGATTTACGGCTTAAGCATATTTGTTCAAAAGTTAATTGAAAAAAGTTTTCAAGTTCACAAAAAATTTACCAACGCATTACCAGTACATATATTATAAGCAACGAATCCTATGAAATTATGATAAATACAAATACTAGTTCAAAAACAATGTGTAGTTGTCTATAAAATTGCTTCGAGTGCCAAATTTGTGCCCAAAAATATGTATACAGATTATATTGTTAATAAAACATTATATATGAAAATATGATCCATTTAACAGCATTTATATTACAATAAGTCATGGTATTCTTTTACGTAGATTATTTTTATATAAGTTGAAATTTTCTTTTCTAACATTGTAGCAAAACTTACTTCAGAAGACCCAGAACAAACATATAGAATCTGCATGTATTTCCAACCATGTCATTCTTCCCAGCAATATACTTAACAAGATCTTGAAGTTCTTTGGTCGGATGACCTAAAAAAAATACATATACCAACAAACTTAGCTTAATTTTAGTGACACAATTTCAGTGAAATATCAGATTCATTTTATAAAATTTTACACACAAAATTACAGTTTGGTTTGTTTGAATTTCGCACAAATCTACCTGAGGGCTACCTGCGCTAGACTTTCCTAATTTAGCAGTGCTAGGCTAGAGGGAAGGCAGCAAGTCAATATCACCCAACACCAGCTTCTGGGCCTATTGTTTTACCAACAAATAGTAGGGTTAACCATCACATTATAACGTCTCTGCGGCTGAAAGGACGAGCATGTTCGGTGAAGGGGATTCATCAAAATATATACCTGTGGATTGTTATTGTTTTTTCACGTAATATTAAATAAGTTGACTTTTTTCCCATACTCCATATTTAAGTTGCTTTGCTAATAATTTAATAGATCAGTTCTCAGAGGCTCAGCACTATGTCAGAAGACATATAAAGCTAAACACCAGGTTTCGATATCCGTGGTGGGCATAGCACAGATAGCCCATTTTCTAGCTTTGTGCTTAACAACAGACTTTCTTGTTATAAATAACTAAACCTGATATAATGCTTAATCTAAAAGTATCCAAAACAATAATTTTGAATATAAAATTTACTTGCTTGAAAAAAAGTTCTAAGATAATTATTGAAAAACAAATTTCAAAATTTAAATTTACCAAACTGGGAAGATGATTCCGCTACTTTCCATGGTGAGTTAGCGACAAAATTTGGACCATTATCAGAGGAAAGAAGTCCGTTTTCTAAGACGTTGTATAAAGCTGGGCACAAATATTTTAGTACCTTAAAAGAGTAATAAAAAAAACTTCAAGTCAATAACTCGAAAAAAGGAAAGTTGAAATATAGAAAACTTTCGATTTTTAATGTCCGCGAAAATGGATTCTGGAGACGTATGAAAAACGAAGAAAATAAAATATGAATAACGTACCTATTATATCTAGAATGACTGAGCTACAATATTTACTTTCTCGAATGTAGTTTTTCTCTAGTTTCCCAATACATTTTCTTAAAATCGTCATTGACATTTTAAACATTACCATAATGTTAGCGAAACGTTCCTTGTGATATCGAATATCTGACATATTCACACACCGTCGTTATTTGGTAAACGTTGAATGGTATGATTCATAGATATTGTAACTACTAATCCGTTGAATCAGAACATGTATTTAAATTAAAAAAAACATATGAAAAATCGTTTTTGCCTACTTACTAGCACAGATATATTTTCCTTGTGTTTTTGTGATTCTGACAGATTTGAGGTCAAACCTTTTGTCAACAAACGCGCTTGTTCTAATATAACATGAGGCATACTTCTCAGCTAAGAAGGAATAATACAGTGATCCCTAACATAATAATTATAATTAGCTCATGTTAATGATGATTAATTACATCATTTAAAACCATTGTTTTAAATAGACCATGGTCTTTGCTTTGAATCAATCCAGGGGCATTGATGGAGAATGGTGTTTAACAAAAAAGACTGAACTCAGATGGGCAAGACGAAACACAGACTAAAACATCAAAAAAATCACCTTTTGTTTTTGGTTTCCTTGCTCCTCTCCATGACTTAGGAGCAGGTCAACGGCCATGGTAACATTCTTCAACAATCCTAAAAGAAACACATAAAAAATTATGTTAGAATACGTCTTCTTAATAGATGAAGGATTAAACTAGCATTACAAGATCAAGAATGCCTTTCTTATCGAAACATTTATAGATTTTTATTTTTATTGGGAAACAATAAAACAAGAAAATCACCGGTAAATGAATATATCGTCTTATTTTCTACAGGAATACTTCTGGAACTTACTCGTTAATTTGAAAATGAAAGGTCGTTTAGTAACTTTTGACATTGCGTTTGGCTTGGAAATTTTCTAGTGTGTCGTTTGATAACATTACATAGAACCGAAATAACGTATAGAAGAGGTGGCATTTTACCAAATAATTGCAAATGTAGTGAAATAAAAAAATTAAATAGCCATACTTGAAACATGTGTATAGGGAATATATGCATGGCCTGGTGATTATGGTGCTCGTCTTGCAATTTGAAAGTCGCGGGTGCGAATCCCCGTCCTCGACAATGTTCGTCCTTTCAGCACTGGGGATGTTTTATTATGTGACGATCAATCCTACTTTTCGGTGATAAATGAGTAGCCTAAAGGTAGGCTGTGGGTGGTGTTGACTAGTTGCCTTCCTTCTATTCTATCACTGCTAAATTAGAGACGGCTAGCACAGATAGTACTCATGTAGCTTTGTTTAACAAGTGTGAAAAAGGAGGTCTTTTGGCATATTTCTTACTTGTTAACAAGTGTGAAAAAGGAGGTCTACTGGCATGTTTCTTACTATTAACGAATGTGAAAAAGGAAGTCTACTGGTATGTTTTTTACTATTAACGAGTGGGAATTTGAGTTTGAAAATTGTATAGATGTAAGGAGTTCTTGCGATTTGCGTTACTGCTAAATAATAAATAACTTACACAATTAAGATAATATATCACTCTTTCTTATATTGATACATAACTCTTATGTATCTCATTTCTATTAACTACTATTACAATCAGAAAACGACGAGTATAATATATTATTTCACACTCTAAACCAACGTTCACTGACAATAAATTTGATTCACCAGCAATTTTTCTTCACAGCTTTATTCATAAATTAAATAATTAGTTTGGTTTGCATTTTGCGAGTAAGAAACATACCAGTAGACCTCCTTTTTCACACTTGTTAAAAGTAAGAAACAAACCAGCAGACCTCCTTTTTCACACTTGTTAAAAGTAATAAACAAGCCAGTAGACCTCCTTTTTCACACTTATTGCTCTCCAGTAGCACAGCGGTAAGTCTTACAATACTAGAAACCGGATTTCGATACCCGTAGTGGGCAGAGCACAGATAGCCCATTGTGTAGCTTTGTGCTTAATTACAAACACACCTTCACACTTATTTAATCACATATTGTTCACACAAAAATCTGCATTTTCAGCTAGGAGCTACGAAAAAATAATCTAGGTAATCACGACAAAATGTTAACGAAATTTTAATTAATCACTTAAGCTCATCTAAACAAAATCTTCGATTAAGGAAAATATTAGGAAAATATAATTTTGCTTTATGAAAATCCTGGATCTGAGTATAAATTTCATTGAGTGTCAGTACATCTTTTACCAACTCACGTAACCGTTCAACACAGGAGCAGCACATAGGGGATCCCAGGTGATGGCATGGGAAGTCGGCTCTCCTATGTCACTCCCCTGAGGGCAGGAATAATAGTGTATGACAAATTTGGTTGAGATCAATAGAATAGCAGGGGGAGCATATAGGGGCCCAAGATGATATAGAGGTGTATTATTCCTAGGGGACCTTAGCTAAGATTAAATGTTAGGTTTGGTGACGATTGGCCTAGTAGTTTGCCAGTTATGAGTGGACATACATACACACGTACACATACACACAAATAGTAATTTAGGTGTATAGTGGTCCCACATTTCACTTTCTATTCGAATGTATTCCATCATTTCGCGCCATCCAGTTTTTTTTTTTTAATGTCTTATTTTATACCAAGTTTTAATAAAACTGTTTTAGATTAAACCTATAATATCTCGATAGAATTAACTTCTAGTGATCCGTTTTTACTATTTTCCACAAAATATTGGTAGTCGGTGTTGATCAGGTGCAGCCACCAAGCTAAAGTAATTGTCTAAAAGATTGTTATTTACCTTTTAAATATTGTTATTTCAAGTGCTGCTTTCACTATGGAAATTTATTAAACCTTTCCGCGGTCACTCTGAAGATAAAAGGCAAAATACATCATTTCATTTAGTGCCCAAATACACTGATATCGATCTTACATGTTTATCATTTCTTTACCGTTCTGTATACTCTAGATCTTATTTATACAGTTTAATAACATTTTACCTGTTTTTTGTTTCAATTTCAGTGCCATAGCGCTTGCGAGCCGTGGAGTATTATTTAGACCCGAAGGTGGGAAAGTCATAGACGACCCCTGTTGCGGTGATACAACAAACTCTTCTGGTGGACTTTCAGAGTCCTCGTCGCTGATTGGTTCATCTCTTGGGACCTCTTCTATAACAGTAAAATAATCATTATTAAAATAACAAGCGCCGGCTTTTCATTCAAAACATTTAATTAAATGCGTACTGAACAAATGAAAGCTTATCAATAAATCAAAAACAAATAATACAGCTCATAGTATTCTCTAACAACAAATGGTTAAATGGTCTTGATATGAAAAATCTAATACTTGGCACTTGTTAAACACTAAGGGCTAAACAAATTCGTTGATTATACACCTACGATGGTTTTATTGTCTTGAAATTTTGACATGTTCTACATTGATTCCTGTACGCTGAATCCTAAAATGATATCCATTTTTCTCCATCACTTACAGATTTTTCACAAAACGTCATAACGTAATACATAAAAGAAAGACCACAACCGTAGTTTTGAGACTAAAAGATGTAGATTCCACACATACACAAAAAATCAGGATGAATGAGGATGCATATTCGTTTGACATCACTGTTCTTCCGTTTTCGTCAGTTTGTTTGTATTTTTGTTAACAAACGTAATAATACAAAATGTTAATTGTGGTAAACGAAATAATAATTTGATCTAAGTAAGAGTTTTTTCTTCCCGATTTGTAAAAAGATCCTTACATGATAGAAAAAAATGAATATTATTGTCGAAATCTGCGTAGCTGAATTATGTGAAATGAAAGGAATATTGAAACCTTTTTGTGACCATCAACTATTTTCTTTAAGAAGCAGTACATTTGAAATAACTATCAGTCATATTTGTATGTTTGGTTGATAATTCATAAAATTATCTAATTCAAAATACAAAGAAGGAAACTTACTGTTACAAACAATGTTTTCTTTCGTAACACCATCATTTGCTTCAACAGCCAGGTTGTCGTCGTGGAAAGTGACAGACTTTTTGACTCGTGAACCGCTACAATCTGAAGAAAAACTACAAGAATTGATTTCATTTGTTGATTCCTTTGTGGCTAATAGAGCTGCTGCCATCAGATTCAGACTTGTGCTGGAGTTAAGTAACTGTTGGAGTTGGTCACAGAGCTGGTTTATTGGAGACTTGATGGAGTTAAGACTACAAGAGCAACAATGATTCCCACACGGATAGTTTTGATCAATATTTAAGTTGTTGCTATGTTTTAAAAAGCATGAGGTAACTCCAGTGTATTTTAATTTTGTAGTATCTTGACATGGTGCTGGTGAGAGAATTTGAAAGGAGTGGCCTTTTGGACAATGTCCACCTGAAAAGGTTTCTGCTACTGGATTGACAAAACCCTGTTTTTCTGAAGATTCTGAAGTTGTTTTAGGATCATTATTACTAGTAATTTCGACAGATTTGCGGTCTGTGTACGATTCTTTCTGTAGGTGTTGCACTGTTTCTCTATATTTGTCTGAATACATTTCACTTTCAATCTGTGGGATTTTCTCTGGAATATTTTCTAAGGATTGGGTGTAGTGATCGAATTTGTTACGTCCATGAAAGTCTAACTGAGAGGCTATTCCCCGATTTGCCACATCAGGTCTCTCGTGACCTTTTTTTTGGTTACAGTGATCTATTGATAAGGATTTTCTCAAAATGCCTCGTCTAGAACTATTACCACTTTGACTTCTCTCTGAATAAGCTTTTTCAAAAGGCAAGGAGATAGAACGTTTGGGTAACTCTGAAGGGGTTCCTGCTGCTCCGCGCTGCCTTCTCAATGTATTATCACTATATGGATGTTCACTATCCCGTGAACTTGAAGTTGTTGAGGAAAAGCTTTCACCGGGATAAGAAAAATCTCGTTCTTGATGATTTTGACTTTTGTTATGCTCAGCACAACACTGATTATTCTCACTTGAACATCTGCAGTGAAATCCTTTGTCATCCTTCAATTTATGATCATCGTCGCTTGTCTTTGTTTGATAGCTTGGAATAGCAGATTTTAACTCTGAGGGAAGTAAAACACTTAACGAGTCCCAGTCTCTTATATGTCTAAATTTTTGTGGTGTTACCATTTCAACACTTTCTCGATCAGACACAGGTCTTTCCTTTTCATCATTACTATGTCGGTTGCTATGATCCTCGGTTTGTGTTGCAGGTAAATTATCAGTTGATTCAGTACTCAGCAAATCTTTTCCCTCTGGTGTACGTCTAAGATTTTTTAGAAAACTGAGATCAGGCAAAGAATAACTTGGATAACAAACATACACTGGCTTTTTCTCGGAACTTGTACCACTCGAAGTGTTGGAAAATTTTGAATTTATGGATGACAGAGGTGAGGGAAATAATTCGCCAGTTTTATCTCCTGAAGAATCAGTATAAGTTTCTTGTACATTAAAGCTTCCTAGATTACTATTGGTAGATATTAATGAAGTCTGTATGGCTTGATCTTTGATATGTACTGGGATTTGTGTACCACGGCTCCTAGTTGTGACAATTTTTACATTTGTGTTTCGCTTTAAAACAGGAGAAGCACAATTGTTGTTGACGAAAAGTTGGGATTTGTAGTGTAACTTTTCTATTGACGTTTGCCTGTTTCCACTGTAGCCACTTGAAAAAGGACTGGTCTCTTTACATCTGCGACTTTGTCTACTGTTATTTAACATCTCCTCTAGACTGGGAATAGATTGGGAGGAATTTCCTTCACTGTAAAAATATTCAGGCAATTTCTCACTACTATTCAGAGTCTTTGTCTGAGTACCCTGGGAACTGTTTTCTGGAACCAGCTTGATGAATTTTTCTAAGAGCTTGTTGCTTTCATGTGTGACACACATGTTGTTTATGAGTTTCTTTTCTGTTTTTCCACCACGAAAATAGTTGTTAATTCTCTTTACTGTATTAAATTCTTCCACGTATTTTGTCGCTTCTGGTATATGTTGCATAGCGTTGTTTTTGGTAATAGTTCCCTCCTCCGATGTACTGTTATCACTGCCAAATGGATCTTTGCTGTCTCTCATGGTTTCATCCCCATTAACCGAATCAGTGTCTAGTTGTTCGTTTTCTTCTTCTTTGATAGTTGAAGAATGCGTGGGAGTATGTTGTATCAAAGGACCGTCTACTAAACTATCTTCAAAATACTGAGAGCTACTGTCATCACTCTCTGACGAAGATTGTTTGCGATTAATATTCTTAGGCATATCTTTGTCAGCTGCACTAGTGTTGTTGTTAAGAAATGTTTGTATTAGGTTGTTATTAAGTTCGTGGACATTTTGAACATGTGTTGTTGGCTGTGATGGTCGTTTTCTGAGATTCTTAGAAACCTTGATTTCTGTTTCTTGATTATTACAATTCGAAACTTGATTTAAATGTAGAGGACCACTTATATACTTGTCACGGGTTTTTTCAAACTGGAGATTGTGGGCTTTTACACCGCGTACTCCTCTGGCCTTTCGTACATTTTTCTCATCATTGTCAATAGTATTTTCGTTGGAGTGAATAGCAGGATACGATAACATGCTTTCTACAGATCCAGACCAACTACTTGACGCTGAACCCAAGGAAGTTTTGCTTTTGATGAACAATTTGAACAAAGGAACAGAATGTTTGTTGTCTCTAGCGTCACTTCCTTGGAGAGAACCATAACAACTACTGTGAAGCTCGTAAACAGGAACGCGTTTAACCGGGTTTATTTTAAATCCCCATTCGCCAAATTGTTTGTCTGTCAATACTAAAGAGCGTTTAAACAGACTTGGAAGACTTTTGCTTCTAGAACGTTGAGGCTTGGCATAGAGTGCAGGGCGAATCAGCTGTTTATAATTTTTCACCTTTCCCCAGGTTGTGTACGACAAGTCATGCTGCACAGTGGAATTGTAAGTCATTTTCTTGGATTGATGACAACCGGTGATTGGCCGTGGAACTTTGTCCTTGTTTTGTTTCATCTCCAAAGCAACGTCCGAATCATCTGACAGCTGAGTCCCGCTCCCTTCAAATGCAATAGTATAATTACTTTTATTAGCTTGACAGGTAACGGCGATATTCTGTTCGTCCAAAGACGTGTAGTCTATACTATCCACTGATGTATTGTTAGCATTTAATGGTTCTTTCGCAGGAGAGAAAAGTGGCTCATCTTTAGAAATGAAGCCTTCTGCAGACTCTTCTTCTGACAAGCTGTGAGAACTGGTAAATATAACGTAATCAGGCTTAATATAGATAATTGATAGCCTATCAGATATTAATCTAGATGGCAAATTAAAGTACTTTATATGTTTGAATCAAAAACATACCAAAGACAATGTCGCACATGAAGGACAAACGAATAAAATAGGTTTCAAATGCAGAACAGGAGCAGTACACTTTCTTTTAGTTACCAAAACACATGAAAATATTGGGACCAACATACTGGGACGAGTTTACCGATTTTAAGATTTAACGTTTTTTTGCAACAAAATCAGAGATATAAAATTACGAGGAATTCTCATTTGTTGTGTAAAATGCAATCTAATAAAAGGTGTATTTTCGAATGGTATCTTTCTGAAGTTTAAAAGTACAATGAGGTTAAACATGCACCTTAGAATATTATCAAGGGTATTGAAGATGAAGATATTTATACCTTCAAATTAATGTGCTGGGCTGTGGATCAAAATGTTCAAAGTACGATCTGCGATGTCCTGATAAAAATGCTACTCATTTTCAGAGGGGGGAGGGTGTTATATATATAACAGTCAATATTCATGTGGTTACGAGTAGCTACATGAGTGACGTGTGATGATGGCTAGCTGTACTCCTCCCTCCCCTTCATTCTGTAGTGGAATAAGTATTTGGTATTTTCAACTTGAGGAAACCTTATGTGGCATAAGCTAAATGACTAAGTCACAGACTTCAAGGTCCCAAGTACAGCCGCCCTTATTTTTGAACTACTTGAAATCTTTCGTAAAATAGTTTGTTAGTTAACAAATAGCGTGTGTATAGTGAATGCAGCTAACCTCATTATTCCCTTTTTACTTCCTCATTATGATTTAGTTGGGTTTGTTTTGAACTTCGCGCAAAGCTACACGAGGGCTAGCTGCGCTAGCCGTCCCTAATTTAGTAGTTAAAGATTATAGGGAAGGCAGATAGTCATCATTACCCAACGCCAACTCTTGGGCTACTCTTTTGCCAACGAATAGTGGGATTGACTGTCAGATTATAACGCCCCAAGGCTGAAAGGACGAGCATGTTTGTTGGGATGGGGATTCGAATCCGCGACGGGTTGAGCGCACAAACCATCTGGCCATGCCATCCTCATTATGAATAGTTTCTCTTATCTCATACACCTTACAAGTGTACAAATATATGGTATTGGGTGATAAACACATATACTTATGCATTTGTTCGTTGTATTTAAACATCTATTTATTTTAACAGGCTATTTGCACAATGTCCGCCACGTGGATCGAATTATAATCCCCCAAGCTTACCGCTGAGCCACCGAAGTACAAGCAGAAAGTAAGAATTTACGTCAGAGTAAATAAAGGTTTAAATTATGTGAGTTTTACGTTACTTATTAGTAGGTACACATACTGAATCTCATTAATAAATCTTATATTTTTTCCAACCGATCAACCAAGAAGTAAACATTTCTAATTCCCATTCACCATTGTGTGGCATTCGCAACTTTTCAAAACCTCTTTACTGACTTTTATAAGGCGTTTTGTTACTTTTAGCTGCTTTGTTTGTGTAACAAATTTCGCTATAAGCGCATAGCTCTCCTTAATTTGGAAATCATAGATTAAAGGAAAGGCAGCAACTATTTAACAACACCCACAGCCAACTCTTCGACTACTCTTGTCCGACTAAATAATGTGATATAACTGTCATTCTTATAGCTCATCTATGGCCCCAAAGCGCCCATAGCGATTTTACGGCAACAGGATGCAAACTATGAACCTTCAGATTCATGTATGAGCATGTTAACCACTATACCCACTCCAGGCCCCTTTAAGTATACAAATTCCAACTTGTAAATACTGAATTAAAAATACAACTATCAACCAGATTAATATACCCTCATCACATTAGGATCTAAAAGCTAATATCAAATTTTAGTCCACTGGAAAATCGAAAAAGAATTACTTGTATTGTTGTTGTTGTTCTTGCTGTTCGATAACAATTTTGCTTAAGGGTAAAGAAAGTACTGGTCAACATTTCAACCAAACAAAAAATCTGCGGTTCAGTATTTGACTAGTTGTAATCAAAGATATTGGGAGTATGTTGTTTTGTTGTTGTTTGATATTAAGCACAAAGCTACACAAAGAGCTATCTGTGCTCTGCCCACCACCGATATCGAAACCCGGTTTCTAGTGGTACAAGTCCGCAGACATACCACTGTGCCACCGGGGGGCGAGATATTGGAAACTGGAATCTTAAACCTGATAGGCACCTCATGCACACATGGGCTAAGCGGAAAGATCATGATCTCTAAGGTTCTGATATAATCCTAAATTTGAACTACTGACTAGCAGGATGCTAGTCATCAGCAGTACTCGCCGCCACACAACAACTTTGTCTGGTTCTTTAAATCCCGTCATCGAATATGCTCGCCCTTTCAATTGGAAGGGGGGAGAGCATTTTTCGTTGGTAAAGAGTGGTCCAAGAGTTGGCGGTAGGTGGTGTTGACTAGCTGCCTTCCCTCTAGTCTATCACTTCTAAATTAGAAACAGCCCTCGAATAGCTTTGTGCAAAATTCAATAAACAAACAAACAAACTGGCTCTTTGAACTGAATAAAGGAACTGACTGTTACGTTTATAACGCGTCTACAGCTGAAAGTGTGGAGCGTGTTCAGTGACATTACGTCTCGAACCCTGGACACTTCAATACACAGCATGACAAGCTAACTACTTGGCCATGCCAGCCTTCATAGATATTAAGTAAGTACAGAACTTACCATATAGATATTAAAATTATTGCTCCATTATTTTATATTTCAATGTGGTGTGAAATTTTTAATGTTCCATCGGAATTCTGGTATTAACTCTAACAAAAGTATCTATATAAAAAACTCAAAATCTCACTGTTTATTTGTTTGCTTGCTTGATTACTTATTTGTCCGCCGGGTTCACACTTTTCTCACGTGAAGGTGCACAAAACGACAATTTTTCGTTGATATACGCGTCTATCGTCTGCTAGCCGAACTGCTAATTTTATCGTTAACATATACATTACACGAATAAATTTTACGCAGACATGAAATTTTTGTAAGTTTGAGTTAACATTTAATTTACAATAAGGCATTATAAGCCTATTTATTTTTATATCATTAACTATACATCTACTAATACATCATATATTTAACCTTACACACAAAAGAAATTTATGCAGAATTATAATGTCGCGTCTGAAAAAGTAAACAGTAGTCTTAGCCTATGAAATGAAATTATTCCGTCTGTCATAAATTGACTACGTAAAAAGAGTAAGGCTTAAATTATAATTCTTATTGTGTACAATGAAATTAAAACCAAGTCAGCGTAACTGGTAGAGCGCTTGCATGAGGTGGAAGATGGGTTGAATCAGGAAATTGTATTTCTTTTTTATTACCATCAATATAGAGAGGCCTATTTTGTTATAGTTTATTAACTATACTTCTAATAATACATCATATATTGAACGTCACACACAAAAGAAATGTATGGAGAATTAGCACGTTTAGTTTGAGAAAGCAAACACAGGTGGCCTGACCTATAACATAAAATTATGCTGTCTACCATAAAATAGACTACGTGAAAATACTAAGGCTTACATTAAAATACGTATTGTGTAAAATGAGATTAATGTCAAGTCAGCGAATGTATTCTATTCTACTTTTTGTTTGCCCCCCAGTGGCACAGCGTTATGTCTGCGGACTTACAACGCTAGAAAACGAGTTTCGAGCACAGATAGCCCATTGTGTAGGTTTGTGCATAATTACAAACAAACAAATCTACTTTTTTTTTCTTTGGAATTTTTTTTCTTTTCCTACATAAATTTAAAGTACAGTGTTGCATTTTGTTTGTAGTATATTTCATACATCAATGTCATAATGTAAATACGGTATCACATTCATAAAAATGTATTACATTTATATAAAAGCAAGCATAATATTATATACATATTTACGTTTGAAATTTTAATATTTGAGGAGGGGTGACAGGGGATGGGGGAATAGAGCTAGGCTTATCCTGTTCGCCAGAACGGGTATTCATAGGTGTATAAGATGATCGAAATATTCTCCATTTATCCTTGCCAGTAAAAACATCGTTCATAAGGAAGCTTTTATTTAAAACAGGTTCGTAGAATATTTTCAAAAATCAAACCTAAGGTTGTTGTTTTTCATAAATTCACAAAATATTGAAACCTATCGAAACAAAGAACGAGGGAACAGAGAGAGTAGGTTTTCTTTTATTCGAAAACCCGGGCAACGCCGGGTAACACAACTAATTATAAATAAAAAAGGGTAGTGTACAAATCTAACAGTAGTAAATAAAAATAGAGAAGTTTTAGTTTGTGAAATTACAAAAATGTTTTTGTTTTCCCAAATGAAAAAACTAACTATAAATATTTCTAATTTCAACGAAAAAAGCTGAACATTTACCGTAAATGTTAATTCAGCTTTCCCCTTGTTGTCACATACCTGACAGAACGTTCTAATTCAAAGCCGTTCGCAAACGTATGTGAGGCTGTAGTGCAGTTCTCTACGAGAGAGAGAACTTCTTCGTCACTTCCGATGCTGCATACACCCGGAAGGCTCAGAAGAGAATTTATGTCCTCTGAGCGAAACGTCTCCATGTCGATTTCTGCCAAACTGGCATCCAGATGCAAGGAAATTTGGTCGTAGTTTAAGCTGTCTTGATCAGGCGATATTGTGGTGATGTTCTGGTCCATGATTAGGCTTAAGTTCAATTCTCTAAACACAGTAAAAACATCTTATAAATATATAAACATAGCATGTGTGTGTATATATTCAACATGAGATGAATTATGTTTTCATTCGCTCTACATGCAGAATAATGTGTTGAAGATAAAGGTCTTGGAAACGCTCATTAGTTTCTACTTTCTGGGTTTGATCTGAATAAGAAAAATATTTTATTTTGAAGTAAAATAGAACATTTGTTTATGAAGTATAGGTTAATTTTAACTTGTTTTTACAGGAAGAAAACGTATTTTTCCTTTGTATAAAGAAACAATACAGGCAGTGGCGTAACTGTAAAAGATGGCCTCTCCCCCACATAAAATGTAATTGGACGCACTACATTTATTTCCCTATAATTGTAGTTACGATTCTGGCTGATTGATATCATTAACTTAAAAGAATAGTATAACCACCCTTTAGTTCAAACAAATTAAATTGTATGTCTCCCCTCCCCCTTGTCTGAAATTATTAAGCTTATCAGGCTCTTCGGGACTCCTATTTGGCTCTCCTCCTTGCAATTGCGGGGATACGGGGCATACTTTTAAATATAAAATTATACTTTTCTCTCTTTGCCCAATGCTCAATGGTGCCTTAGCAGTGAGCTTGAGGGCTTTTATACACTAAAATTCGGGGTTCAATCCCCATGGTGGACACAGCGAAGGTAGCCCTTTGTGCAGTTTTTAGCTTTAATGATATCTAATCAAAAACACATTAGGTGTGAAAAAAAGGTGCGGACAAAATAAGATTGAATGTGCGACTTAAAGGAATGAAATCAAAATTGGCGGCCAAACTGGTAGCTACACTTAAAGCATTGACAAGAATTTTACAACAAATATTCATTCATTAGTTGGCTAGGTCGCGTATTTTGTTTTACCCACCATCATGCTCATCAGCTAACCATAGTGAGTGCCTAACCATGTCGTTGACAAAAGTATACACTAGTAACTCTAATATAAACCACTTGAACGTCGTATTCTACTCGGTTTTTTATTACAACTCTATATTTTAATGTCCCCTAGTGTGTCAAAAATAGGGTAAAGAACTTGCAAAGCTAAAATCCAGGGTTCGATTCTTCGTTGTGAACAGATTGCAGATAACTTATTGTGTAGTTTTGCGCTAAAACAATCTCAAACTCGATTTTAATAGTATAAAATTTTAATTAGATTTGTTAATTAATTTATACACTTGGTATTGATGTACATATTCGTTGGTTTTTAATCCCAGGATATAGCTAATGTATAAAATCACACAAAACTAAATTTTTTGTCTAAATTTTAGGCCTATTAATTTTGCAATACTTCGATAGCTTTCAGCGTTCAAAGCCTTAAAGGTACCTGATGTATTTCATTCATAAACTAACAACTGCACTACACAAGTAATGTATATTAATAAGAAGTAGTTAACAAAATATGCATTTCAAAAAGAATCACCTTAAAATACAAGAACGCCAACATTGATTACTTTAAGGCAGAATAACTCTAACGTGAGTTATTTTAAAGCGGAACTCCAACATGTATTACTTTAAAGAAGAACTCCGATATGAATTATTTTGAAGCAGAAAACACCGATGTGAGTTATTTAAAAGCAGAATAACTTCAACATAGATTATTTTAAGGTAGAAGAACTGCAACATGAGTTATTTTTAAACAGATAACTCCAATATCAATTATTGTGAAGCAGAAAAACACTAACATGAGTATTTTAAAGCAGAAGAACTTCAACATTGATTATTTTAAGGTAGAAGAACTGCGACATGAGTTATTTTTAAACAGATAACTCCAATATCAATTATTTTGAAGCAGAAAAACACTAACATGAGTATTTTAAAGCAGAAGAACTCTGACATGAGTTAAATTAAAGCAGAAGAACCCCAACATTGGTTATTTTAAAACAGAAGAACTCCAACATAAGTTATTTTTAAAGCAGGAATACACCAATGACAGTAATTTTAAAGTAAAGAAATTCGAATATTAAACACTTTAAGCAAAAGTACTTCGTTATGAGTCATTAAACGAAACCTACAGTCTTGGCTAAAGTGCTTGCATGCTGTTCGATATTGATGTTATTGTCTATATGCAAGGAGTAGTTATTGAGTAAATGCCCGAGTAGTAACATAGAAGGTAGCATATGATCTGACAAACATGTACGAGTTGTTATTCTAGTCTGTATAAGTTGCTTTGAGAATTTTTTCGTTAAAACACACATACACACCTGTTTTGTATAAACGGGTGTGCTTTTGGCATAATCTTTTTCGAAACAGATCAACGCTTTGTTCAGACAATTTATCTGTATTTAGTTTAGAGTCATGCCTCGTCACGTGCCAGAAGTTATAGGGCGTAAAAATTGTTCAACTGTCCAGAAATAGTATGAAGCAAACGGAGATTGCCTGAACAGTAGGGTACCCTTATCGTACCGTGTCCAGAATCCTGAAACGGCAACGGATTACAGGAAACTTTGTTCAAGGAAAGTCTAATGATAGACGCCGAAAAAACTACTACTCGAGATGACCGTGTTTTGATCAGGTTAACACGTTAAGGTCGAAAGAGGTCTTGCAACACTTTACGACAGGAATGGCACGAACATATTCATCCTAGGGTATCCAGAAAAACAATGAATGGGAGACTGGCCATACGAAATTACTTTGCAAAAAAGGCTATCTGCAAACCGATATTAACCAGAATTCACCACCGACACCATGTTACTTGGGCACGACAGCGTGCCAACTTACAATTAGAATACTGCCAACATATCATCTTTTCAGATAAGTCCTGTTTCCAGCTTGTTAAAAAGCTGATGGTAGGATTAGTTTCGTCGTTTGCCCGGAGGACTGTTTTTCTTACACAGAGCACACAGGAGGTGGTGCAGTATATGTTTCGGCAGCTATTCATCAGGTGGAAAAACTGCTCTTCATATCCTCCAGGGAAACGCTAATGGTACCTCCTATAGGCATCACATTGAGAACTGTTGGGCAGAACTGAACCGAAAAATTGCTAACCACGACCCTAATCCAGCTTCTTTAGCAGAGTTGCAGTGCCTTCTATGCACAAGTTGGGATGAAATCACGAGGAATTACAACAATAACCTCATCGACAGCATTCTACGTTGCCTTGTGGAGGTTGTTAGAGTACGATGCTCTTATTTCTCACAAAATATGCAAACAATTTGGGCAAGAGTGTATCTTAAACAGATATGCTCAAAAACCTGATAACAAAGCTGACTAGTGACAATTGTACAGCAAGCATCATATCAAAGAAATGCTCCAATATCAGTCATTGTAAACCACAAGCACTCCGATAAGAATCATTGTAAAGTAGATTCATCGTAATATTATTCTCTTTAAAGCAGAATCACTTCAGTATGAGTCGTTTTAAAATAAAAGCCCAAACATTAGTAATTTTAAGGTAGAGGCACATCAGTAAGAGTCACTTTAATTTAAAGCAGATAATTTATTTTGAGAACTATTCTTACAATAAAAATCCTAAAAAACCTACATTATAAAACATTATACTTAATTAATGATTAACTAACGAGTAGTTAAAACCCGCAGAATAACAGGAAAGATGTAAGTGACGAATGAAGGAGACAACAACAACACATAAACCCAAAATATAAGTAAGCTTAAACTTGAAGAAAGTAAAGCACTTTTATATTAAATCACACTCGTCGGCTGGCTTACACAGTCAAGAAAGCCACAACAATAGATGAATTTACTGATTGAAACTAAAATCAAGACTGAGCTGAAAACAAGTAAAATTCCAACCAATCAAACTGTAGCTCAGGTAGCTAAACAATTCACGCTCAAACGTACATGAAACGTCGCATCAAAGGAACGTGAACTTCCCCGTTCAACTGACCTAGATGATGGTTAAAATAGCTAGGATTGGCACCAACCATAGAGTCTATAATCCTAGCGCTGATGTTCTCGAATTTGTAACAGATTTTTAGGCCAAATCCAGAAAATGAAATTGTAAAATATTTGTCTTCATTTACCTTTAATATGTATATAGAATTATAATAAAACTTGCCACATAGGTTAATCTGGAAAAATAACTGCCTATTTGGTAAACCAAACACTAAGGAAATATAAAACAAAAGGTGTACAGTTACACCTTTAGGGATGTGAATTATTAATACACGAGAAGCACCTAAATAATTTACGTTCTCAATAGTTGCATTTGTTTCGTTTACTTACATCTTCAGGTGAAGGAATTTCACCGTTTTTCTAACATGGAGTGTTGATATTGAAATTACACCCTCATTCATACCTTTAATTCTTAGAATGTATTAACAAATTATTAATAGATAGAAATATATTTGGAAAAACCAACGTACTTGTCACATTCATCGTCCAAACACCACTGATATCCTCCACTGTCCTGAAGGAATGACCTATCACTCTGGCTAGCTTCTTCTCCTTCCCTGTCTTTGGTTGCGCCATCAGAGAGAGTTCTTTGTGGTGTTTGGCTTTGATTATGGTTTGATTCTGGCTCAGGCAGATTGGACGCGGTTGTCTCAGGAGATTCGTTCTCCGTCGCAGGTTGCATGTCACCTAAGGTGTTAAATAAAAAACTACATCACACTAAGCACGGTTTTTTTACTCGTGTTTCTGTAACATTTGTACTGAAAGGCAGCTGTATGTTACGTGTTGCGAGAAAATAGTTTTAACAATAACGGGTTTGCTTTTTCTGTACCCAATATATGAATACAGCGAGAGTTGAATTATCTTAATAATAAAATATGTTTTATACAGACCATGGTAGAGAAACTTAAAAAAACAAACATACAAACCTCTATTCTCTGTATATTACGGTTATAAATATTACAATCTGCTTCTGTTTGTTTGTATGAAGTTCAACACAAAGCTACACAATAAGCTATCTGTGCTCTACCCACCACGGGTATCGAAACCTGGTTTCTAGCGTTGTAAGTCCGCAGACATACCGCTGTGCCACTGGGGGGCAACGCTATTTCGGAATCATTGTACTAATTCTGTTGTAAAAAAACGCAAGCGCAAAGCTACATTCAGCTACCTGTTGTGTCCACCGTGGCGAATTGAACCTCGGACTTTAACGATGTAAGATCCTCAAGTTACCGCTGAAGGGGACAAGTATGTAGCGCGTGCTAGAAAGAGTAACTTTACGTCATATGTTTGGTTGTCGTTAAGTTCAAAGCTACAAAACAGACTATCTATGCTCTGCCTATCGCGGGTATTGAAACCGATTTTTTAGTGTTATAAGCACTCAGACTTACCGCTGAGCCACCAGCGTATACCATATGTACGAACGAGTTTGTACAGGGCCGAATACGGAGGACATATCACACATTACAATGAGTTTGCCTACGGCTGAAAAAAAGAGAACATCTGACACATTACAACGAGTTTGCGTACTGCTGAATAAAGAGGACATATCACACATTACAACGAGTTTGCCTACGGCCGAATAAAGAGGGCATATCACACATTACAATGAGTTTCCCTACGGCTGAATAAAGAGAACATATCACACATTACAACGAGTTTATACACGGCCGAATAAAGTGGACATATCGCACATTATAACGAGTTTGCCTGTGGCTGAATAAAAAGGACATAACACATTTGTTTGTTTGTTTG